CTCGGCTTACAGCTGTTCATTTAGCAACCTCAATGGCACTGAAAAAAACGACTTATGAACGTTGTTCACAGTTAACGACCTTCGCAGCATCCCCGTGGTCACGTGATCAAAATTCAGGCGCTGGGCAACTCGCTCGTACTTATGTCCGTGGCCAGGTCCCAAGGTCACGTGATCTCCCCGTTGCGACACCCCCTCCCCCCTGACAAGCAAAGTCAATGGGGGAAGCCACTTTCCCTTAACTATCAGCCTATTAACTGATCATGGGTGGTGATTCCCTTAACTGTGGCAGGAGAGGTCGTCAAACAGGGCAAAGCTCCCTTCACAAGTGTCTCGCTTAACAACAGATATTTTGGGCTCCATTATGCGCATAAGTCGAGGACTTTATACCTGAAAGGCAGGACAAGAAGCAACGGATGGAAACTAATCAAGGAGAGAAGTAACCTGGAATTAAGGAGGAATATTCCTGACAGTTGGAACAATTAACCAGTGGAACCACCTGCCTCCAGAAGCTGTGAATGCTCCAACACTGGAGGTTTTTAAGAAGAGACTGGACAGCCACTTGTCTGAAATGGTATGGTATTTCCTGCCTGAGCAGGGGGTTGGACTAGATGACCTCCAAGGTACCTTCCAACATATTATTATTATTATTAGTTTTTAAGAGGAAACTGGACAGCCATTTGTCTGAAATGGTATAGGCTTTCCTGCCTTAGTATGGGGTTGGACTAGATGACCTCTAAGGTTCCTTCCAACATCATCATTATTATTATTTTATTAGTTTTTAAGAAAAAACTGGACAGCCATTTGTCTGAAATGGTATAGGCTTTCCTGCCTTAGTACGGGGTTGGACTAGATGACCTCTAAGGTTCCTTCCAACATCATCATTATTATTTTATTAGTTTTTAAGAAAAAACTGGACAGCCATTTGTCTGAAATGGTATAGGCTTTCCTGCCTTAGTACGGGGTTGGACTAGATGACCTCTAAGGTCACCTCTAACTTTATTATTATTATTATTACTACTACTACTACTACCCCCTAATGTCCTATCTGTCTTCCTTATACCAGGGGTCTTCAAACCTGGCACTTTTTAACACGTCACGCATTTGCTGCACATTCCCACTTGCTTTTACATAATATAGATGCGGGGAAAAAGGTGAAGGGCGGAGCGAACAGCAAAGCCCCGCCCCCTCCTCGGCCCCGCCCAGGGCCCTGACGTCCCACGCGCCAGGCTCTCGCTCCGCGCAGGCGCGAGACCGCCCGCCTCTCTCTCTCTCTCTCTCTCTCTCCTCCCCCGAGCGGCGCGCATGCGCCCTCAGCCGCCCGGCGCCTGAGGCCGAGAGCGGCCGTTGCCTCCGCGAGCGCCCATGGCGGAGGCCGGCCCGGTGCTCTCCCCGGAGGCGGAGGAAGAGGAAGAGGCCGACGAGGAGCTCCTGCAGCTGGAGACGGAGCCGCCGGCCGGGCTGCTTTCCGGACGGGCGGCGCGGACCGCTCCCGGCGGCGCCGTCCGCCTCCCCGCCGGCCGGGACGCGTCCGAGGCGGCCAGTGAGGAAGAGGAGGAGGAGGAGGAGGGCGACGGCGAGGAGTCGGAGCCGCTCCTGGGCGCGGCGGCGGCGGCGGCGGCGGCGGGCTGGGGCCGGCGGGCCCGTGAGGGGACGGGTGAGCGGCGGTGTTGTTGACGCGTGAGGAAACGGGGCGCGCCTGCGCAGTGGCCGGAGGGGGCGTGGCCACACGTGGGATGCCCCTGCTGTCTGCTCCTGCTTGGGTCTCCCTAGGAGGGGGGAGGGGGAAGTACAGGCAGTCCCCGACTTACAACAGCTCGTTTAGTGACCGTTTGGCCCTGGAAAAAAGTGCCAGTTTTTCACACTGACGACCCTTGCAGCGTCCTGATCAAAATTGGGGAGTCCTCAGCTTGCAAACGGCTCGTTTAGCGGCCGTTTGGCCCTGAAAAAAGGGACGTAGGACCGTTTGTCACGCTTAGCGACCGTCGCGGCAGTCTGATCAAAATTGGGGAGTCTTCAACTTGCAAAGGGCTCGTTTAGCGACCGTTTGGCCCTGAAAAAAGGGACGTAGGACCGTTTGTCACAGTTAACAACCGTCGCGGCAGTCTGATCAAAATTGGGGAGTCCACAACTTGCCAACGGCTCGTTTAGCGACCGTTTGGCCCTGAAAAAAGGGACTTAGGACTGTTTGTCACACTTAACGACCATCGCGGCAGTCTGATCAAAATTGGGTAGTCCTCAACTTGCAAACGGCTCTTTTAGTGACCGTTTGGCCCTGAAAAAAGGGACGTAGGACCGTTTTTCACACTTAGCGACCGTCGCGGCAGTCTGATCAAAATTGGGGAGTCCTCAGCTTGCAAACGGCTTGTTTAGCGGCCGTTTGAAGCCGCCACGGTGCTGGAAAAAAATGGACTTAGGGCTGTTTTTCACACTTACGACCATTGCAGCAGCATTGTCATGTGACTTAAGACAGTTTGTCACACTTAACGACCGTCGCGGCGTTCGGATCAAAATTGGGTAGTCCTCAATTTACAAACGGCTCGTTTAGCGACCGCTCGAAGCCGCCACGGTGCTGAAAAAAATGGATTTAGGGCTGTTTTTCACACGACCGTTGTGGCACTCTTGTCGTGTGATCAACATTTTGGATACAGGCAGTCCTCAACTTACAACAGCTCATTTAGCGACCGAAGCTGCCACGGCACTGAAAAAAGGGACATAGGACTGTATTTCACACTTAACGACCGTTGTAACATTCTTCTGGTCACGTGATCAAAATTTGGTAGTCCCCGACTTAACAACAGTTCATTTAGTGTCCGTTTGGCCCTGAAAAAAGGGACTTAGGACCGTTTTTCACACTTAAGACCGTCGCGGCATTCTGATCAAAATTTGGCAGTCCTCAACTTACAAACAGTTCATTTAGCGACTGTTCGAAGCCGCCACGGTGCTGAAAAAAGGGACTTAGGACCATCTTTCACACTTGTGACCGTTATAGCGTTCTTCTGGTCACGTGATCAAAATGTGGTAGGCCCCAACTTACAACGGCTCGTTTAGCGACCGTTCCGAGTTACCACGGCACTGGGAAAAGGGACTTGGGATCGTATTTCACACTTAACAACTGTTGCAACATCCCCAGGGTCACATGATCCAAAATGCGGACGCTTTGGCAACTGGCTCATATTTATGACGGGTTGCAGTGCCCCGGGGCTCACGTGATTCACAGGCAGCGTCAAGGGAGAAACCAGATCCTCTTTAACAACCGTGTTGCTAGCTTAACAACGTTGGCAAGAATGGTCGTACAGCGGGGCAAAAACTCAACAAAGGTTTCACTTAGCAACATAAAAAGTTTGGGCCCAATTGTGGCCGCAAGTCGAGGGCTACTTGTACGTTGCTTGGAAGATTGCAGAGAGTAATCCAGCCAGTTGCCTGGAGTCAGCACGGACTCGAAGGAGAGGACCACGTAGGCATCAGGGCTAGAAACTTGAGAGTTCCAGTCCCAGCTTATGCACCAAGCCAGCTAGCTGATCCTCAAGCGTTTCATTTAGGGGTGGGACCCAGCTACTTTGGGGCCGTATCCTTGCTCTTTGAGGCTGAAGATGGGAGGGCAATGTGGCTTAATTAAACTTTTTTTTTGGTTGTGGTTTAAACAGAGGCAGCTCTTTGAATCTGGATGCATGCTTAGGGAATCTTTTTATGTGCTTGTTCCTTTGTCGGCAGTGTTATTTATTTTATTTATTTATTTTATTTATTAAATTTATATACCGCCCTATCTCCCTTACGGGACTCAGGGTGGTGAACAGGCGATACTAAAAACCACAATAATAAATATTATTATTATTATTATTATTATTATTATTATTATTATTATTATTATTATTATTTGGATTTATATCCCGCCCTTCTCCTCGCAGGACTCAGGGCGGCTGACAATCAATTAAAATACATAAATAACAATACAAATTTAAAATTAATTAAAAGAGATATTTAAATATTGTCAAATTAAAATCTAATTAAAAGCCCTCTAAAAATTACCCTAGGCCAGTCCTGCAAGCTGGAATAACCATGTCTTAAGGGCGCGGCGGAAGGAAGGGAGATCAGGGATCACCCTGATCTCTGGGGGCAGTTCATTCCAGAGGGTGGGGGCTCCCACCGAGAAGGCCCTCCCCCTGGGGGTCGCCAGCCGGCACTGTCTGGCCGACGGCACCCTGAGGAGACCCACTCTATGGGAGCGTACAGGTCGATGGGGGGTAATCTGCGGCAGGAGGCGGTCTCGAAGGTATCCGGGTCCGATGCCATGGAGCGCTTTAAAGATGATAGTCAGCACCTTGAAGCGCACCCGGAAGGCCACAGGCAGCCAATGCAGTACTAAAATCAAATTAAATAACAGGCCTGCTCTAAAAACACCCCATACAAAACCCCCCACTAAAACATAATCAGACTACGCCAGGCCGGCCGCACGGAATAGATGGGCCTTGTAGGAATTAGTATCGTCCTAGGACTGGGGAGAGTCAAGTAGAGAGGAGTGTACAAGATGAACTGGAGCCCTTGGTTTGTTTCCAGGGAAATCCACCTCACAGGTCTGGTTTTTGAAGATTTAAACCGAATCGCTGTGCCGTATTCCACCTCTTGGGAGATAAGCCGAGGATGGAGACGTCCTGTATTAACAGTGTTCTATCTGGGTCTGATACGATTCATTCCCCCACGCTGTCCTCGTGCCTGTTGTGGACCGCCCCTCGGTCATTCGGACAGTCGTACGAGTCAAATTTCCAACCACGCGGCTGCATTGTGCAAACGTAGCCGCTGCGGCGCGTATTATTTTGGCATTTCTATTGTGTCCCCGTAATTTTTGGTCTTACTGGAGAGTGAGCCAGGGTTGAGTGTATATTGAGAGATGAAGAAGGAGGGAGTAAATGGAGTTGAGGAAGAAAAAAATAATAATCAGCTGCCGGCACTCCTTTGAAATTATTGTCACAATCCACCCAGGACATGTCGTGAGCATCGCAGAGATGAACTTCTCCGTGGACGACCCTGAATTTGCCGAAATCATGCAGCAAGCCGAACGAGCCATCGAAAGCGAAGTCTTTCCAGAAAGAATCTCCCAAGGCTCCAGCGGAAGCTACTTCGTCAAAGACTCTAAGAGAGTGAGTTGCGCTGTGGTTTCTTTGTGGGATTGTGTGATAAAATGCTTGAACGGTCTTGTGTGAAAACATTTGCCCACGGTCAAGGTTGAGCGTGCATAGCTGCACACAGGGATAATAATAATAATAATAATAATAATAATAATAATAATAATAATAATAATAATAATAATAATAATAATAATAATAATAATAATAATAGTAAAGTTGGAAGGGATCTTGAAGGTCATCTAGTCCAACCCCCTGCTCAGGCAGGAAACCCTATACCATTTCGGACAAATGGCTGTCCAGTCTCTTTCCTTGCAGCTTATCAGAACGAGAACGAGTGTGCGGCACTTCCTACCACCGTATCTTGCTAGCAGGACTTGTATCTTGCTAGCAAATCTGTGGTTTGCTGAACATTTGTGTACATTTGAGTGTCCCTTCCTTCGTTATCTTCCAATATGCAGCAGCCAGCAGTTTTTGCATTTGGCTTATGATTTTCTATTTGGAAAATAACCAATACATAGTCCTACTTTATGCGTAATGCTAAACAGCACGGACGGAGGGAACCTGGATTTTTTAGTCATGATTATATACCTTTTTTTGTTGGGTGTATATGGAGCTTACTGGGTCAACATTTCTTCAGTTCATACTGTATGGAAAAATTTCATGACCCAATTTGAAGAAAAGTCTCATTTTTTGTCCTATAGCACTGCTCTTGCTTTACAAATAAAGGGTCAGAATTCTTTAGCAGACTTTGGGGATTTATTTTCCACGATGTGTTTCAAAAGGTCGTGTTTATAATCTGTATGAATAGGTGGTTGCTAAGACTTGACGCCAGCTTGATGGCACAATTTATAAGTGTGTGCGCGCGCACGCATTTTCCAACTTTGGATTCATAATCCCTGTTGATTTCCAACCCTCGAAGTATCTGAGTTGAATATTTGGGAGATATTATCTAAAAGAAGTTGGGTTAGAAAAAGCTGAGAGGCCAGGTTTCATGGTTTTTAGTACTTTTGTGATATAAATTGGAAAAACTTTTGTAACCTGAAATGATTGCAAGTTGCTTAAAGCAGAGGTCCCCAATCTGTTGGGCACCAGGGACCGGTTCCGTGGGGAAAGGTTTTTCCACGGACCGGAGAGTGTGTGGTTTTATGTGCTGCCTGCATCCCATGGATGGGGCTTTGCTTGTTTGTGCGGACCGGTTGCTGGCATGCTGCGGCCCGGTACCGGTCCACGGACCGGGGGTTGGGGACCCCTGACTTAAAGGACACCAATCCATAAGAGCGTTGTATCTTGTATCTTTTTCCTGGGAAACCGAATTGCTGTTTTGTTCTGGATCTACCTACAGATCCTACCAAATAGTAGAATGTGGGTCATACCTATCTTTTGTGTTGAAATAATGTAATCGAGTATCACTACCTGCATTAGAGGAGCCTTTGCCTTGCTCAACAATTTCTGAATCAGATAAAATTAAGGGAGTAAGATTGCCTTATAGACAAGGAGAGTAAAGTTCACAAATACTTGAAATATACGTGACACGCAATGACGTTAGATGGCGTAAGAAATTTGGATGAAAGGACATTAATATTAATGTTTGGATGAAAGGACATTAATATTATTTCAGGAACTAGTATACTAAAAAAACGTATTGTATTTAATATTAAATACGTTTTTTAGTTACTAGTTCCTGAAATAATTGTCTATAATGAATTCTGGCATGAAAGCAAATGTCACAGCTGTCTGCTCCAAAGCCAGTTGCTAATGAAATCATTTTATTTGCAACTGGGCCTCGTCGTCTCTAATTTCAGATAATTCAGGGGTTGTCCTTGTATCCATGCAACCCCATTTTAAATTTCAGATCAACGTCTCCACCTTCTCAAGGCTGTTTATTATTAAAGAAGGCAAATTGCTTCACAATTTTATTCAGGCTTGGCTTATTCTGGCTTCACATCAGCCCTCAATTAGCACTAAAAGCTTAATGCTGCAACAGCATAACTAGTTAAACCAGCTCTTGTTTATTGTAGTCTCTCAACTTCAGCCCATTTGGTTTTTTATTTTATCTGCCTGCTTTTCAAACGGCAAAACATACATCTTAACTTTAGGGACACTATTAAGAGTCAGTCTTAGAGTATATTTGGAGAACGTGCAATGATTGCATTGCATTGAAGGGCAAGTAAAACTCTGTCAAAGGTAGCTGATGGTTTATTGTGTGTCTGCTCTTTTAAATCTCATTGCTGTGAGAGTCAAAAAAATTGCTCCTTTACGTTCAAAGTCAGGACTTAACAGTAGCTGCACTGCCCTTTTTTCTTTCCATCCGAAATCAATGGCAGTCCCAAACAACAACAGCATCATATTGAATTTTGCGATGTATTTTTGGAATGCTATTTATTCTGCTAATGGACATCGTATAAATAAAATATGCTTTGTTGTGATTATGGTTTAAATACCAGGATGTATTTGTTTTGGAAGATGGAGTTGCAAAAATATGAACCCTTTTATCTTTTGACCTGTAACGAATTTTGAATTTATATCACTTTTAACATCTCGGGGCAAATGTTGCGATGCTTCCCTGTGCTCTATTCAGCTTTAAAAAAAAACACACCAAATCTCTGTGGATATAATATTTGAGTTGAGAAAATACTGCATTTGTAGGAGGCCTTTTGTGGGATCCATTGGGGGCCTTTGATAAAAGCCAGTAATGTAGCTTCTGTGTTATGGAGGTCTTCTACTTTACCTATATAGCATTTTAGATCATAGATGTAGCACAGCTGTGTCCCTTAGCAGGTGGATTGTGTTCACTTAACATTACAGGTAGTCCTCAACTTTCAACCACAACTGAGCCCCAGATTTTCTGTTGCAAAGTTGAGACATTGGTTAAGTGGCTTTGGCCCCCATTTTACGACCTCTCTCGCCCCATTTGTGTAGTGAATCACTGCAGTTGTTAAGTTAGTTACACAATTGTTAAATGAACCCGGCTTCCCCACTGATTCGGCTTGTCCCTAAGGTCACAAATGGTGATCACAGGACTCCAGGACCGCGCAACTGACATAAATACAAGTCAGTTGCCGAGTGTCTGAATTTTGATTATGTGACCTTGGGGGTGCCGACATTGTAAGCGTGAAGTTGCTTTTTTCCCGTGCCGTTGTAACTTGGAACAGTCACTAAGTGAACCGCTGTGAGCCGAGGGGCATTCAACTTTAGATGACCAGGTACCTTTAGACAACCCAGCTTATCTTCCAAGCCAGTTTTGTCTAGTGGAAATTGAGGAGCTGAGTTCTAGTCCCGCCTTAGGCAGGAAAGCCAACTGGGCGACTCCGGGGCCCATCCAACTCACCTCACAGAGTTACTGTTGTTAGGAGAAAGGAGAATTAGCTATGTTTGCTACCTTGAGTGATTTATAAAACTAACAAAGGCGGGATGAAAAAAAATTAAAAATACGTGTTTTTGTAAACTATTTCTATTTAGGTGTATGGAGATTCTCCGTCATCCTGGTTATAATTGTCCCAAAGGTGCTTTTTTCAGGAGGCAACTGGACTTTCTTGTTTTTTCTTTGAAGACATTTCGCTTCTCATCCCAGAAGCTTCTTCAGCTCTGACCGGATGGTGGAGGAATGGAAGGATTTATATACTCCTTGCAGACAGCTGGTCCTTTTGCCTTCTTTTAGAGCAGGAGTCTTCAAACTTGGCCCTTTGATGACTTGTGGACTTCAACTCCCAGAATTCCTCAGCCAGGCACGCGTGCCTGGCTGAGGAATTCTGGGAGTTGAAGTCCACAAGTCATCAAAGGGCCAAGTTTGAAGACCCTTGTTTTAGAGACTCATTGAGGTCCTTTGGAGGTTTCTCTGTGTCCTCAGGGTCTCTATATTTCTATATATCACCAGCAAACCAGCACACACTTTCCTCGCGATCCCTTACTCATCCTCCCTTTCTTTTTCTCCTTTAGAAAAGTATCGGAGTATTTAAGCCCAAATCCGAAGAGCCTTACGGTCACCTCAATCCAAAATGGACCAAATATTTCCACAAACTCTGTTGCCCTTGCTGTTTTGGCAGGGGCTGTCTTGTTCCTAATCAGGGATATCTCTCTGAAGCTGGTGCCTATCTGGTGGACAGTAAACTAGGATTAGGAGTGGTACCCAAAACAAAGGTAAGAGTGGTTTGCAGCATCGGTTGAGCACGAAGAAACGTATTTCTGGTTTAAACCTGTAAATAAAAAAAAGGTCGAATAAAACCTTTTAAACTAATTTTTCAGGCTGGGGAAATAAGTTTTGACTTTTGGAGTTGACTAGCTAGGACGCTGGTCTCAGTGGGAGTTTCAGCATAAGGCAAAAAAATTAGCTCAGGTAACCGGGTCTTACCTTTTTTGGCCTGTGGGTCCAATTGTAATTTTGTGAGTATTTTATGTTATAGATACAGAGCTGCCAACATCGCTCTTAACCATGCAGATTTCAGGGTGAATCCAGCCACTCACTTTTTTCCCCCCTTACCGTACACTTTTTTCACTCCTCCTTTTTTGCAGCAGCTTGCAAATTTTGACAACGTGCCATTTTGTGGTTGTAATTCTCCGAAACTGGCAGTCATGGTTCTGAAAGATGAAACTCTTCAAAGAACTTCGAGGCACTGTTTACCTTAAAGAATCTTTATTAGAGGAGCATATCGGCACTAACATAATCGAAGCCCAAAACTGGATTCCCCTCCCCTGGGCACCTAGTATCAAAGCACAAATCCCTCCTCCAAGTAACAGTCATAAATCACATTCCCCAATTAGTTTGAAATGCAGGCTTTCCCTCCTGTTCTCCAGCCTGCCAATCCTTATCATCTCTTATTTCAAGTTCTGAATTCACACACTAGTACAATACGGTTACGTCTAACTAACTCCCGCCACATTCCGCCTCCTTCCCCAGCATCATCTAATTCTAAGAGTAAAGCATGAGAAAGAAAAAGGCTGCCTCTTCATATGTTGTCAAAGCAAGAACGTCCAATGTTATCAGCGTTGACACTGGCCTAATCAAAAATATCAGCTGGAATGTGAAGCCAGCAACTATAGAAGCAGCAGCTCAAATGAAATCGCCACAAAGCCTGAACGTTTTGATCTTCGTTTATTGCTAGAAAGGAGAAACACAAAACACAGGGAATCCTCGATTTAGGACCACAACTGAGCCCCAAAATTTCCGTTGCTAAGTGAGACGTTGGTTGAGCGGGTTTTGCCCCATTTTACGACCTTTCCTGCCACAGTTGCTAAGTGAATCATTGCAGTGGTTAAGTTAGCAACACGGTTGTTAAGTGAATCCGGATTCCACACCGATTTTGCTTGTCAGAAGGTTGCAAAAGAGGATCACGTGACCCTCGGGAGATATTGTGACGGTCATAAGTGTGAGTCGGTCGCCGATTGCGTGACTGCGAGGATGCTGCGTGAAAAACGGTCAGAAGTCAGTTTTTTTTCAGTGCCGTTGTGACTTTGGGCAGTCACTAAATGAGCTGCTGTAAGCCGAGGACCACCTGGGTAGCTTGACAAAGAGGTGGGTGTGGTGAGGACAGTGTCAGAATTAAAACGTCAAATTAAAACGTCAAATTATTCCGTGTTCTCAGGTGGTCGGCTTTGTTAGCGAGACGTTCAACTACAGCGCCATCGATCGTGCCAAATCCAGGGGCAAGAAATACGCTTTGGAAAAAGTGCCCAAAGTTGGCAAAAAGTTTCACCGAATTGGACTACCTCCTAAGGTAAATTTTCCTCAGCCGTCCTGAAAACGTTTACCTACTTCCGTTGTATTGGCGGGGTGTGTCTGTGTGTGTGGTTGTTGTTTCCTTCTATTCCTCTTCCGGGGTAATTTGTAAGTATTAAAAGAATAAAGAGAAGTTTAAATTCCGACGCACCGCTAAAGACGGAAAAAGTTTGTTTACCCCGTCAAGGTACGGTGAAGTTATTTCCTCAGTGGAATTTATTTACTTTTTTAAACTGAAGAAATACAAGAAAACACAGACAAAATTCAGCCCTGTTCGTTAAAAGCCCTGAAGCTAATTCCTGATGCATCAGAGGCCTTTGATTCTTTTTTTTTAAATTGGTTTTATTCATTTATAACATAAAATGTGAAAATACAAAAGCAAATAGTAGGGGACAACAGTAGAAAAGGGGAAAACAAAAAAGGTGTGAAGAAAGTGGGGTGTGTGTGTGTGAAACAAAAGGCATTGACTTCCGACTCTCTCTGTTGCAGTAAAATCAGACCTTAAAATAAAATATCAACTTTTGACATTTCTAGAGTAGCCCGCCCTGGCCATTTCTCCATCGGCAAATCAGTCTGATCGGTAAAACACAAAATCAAGATGTCATTTTTTTTTCCCACCTCAAGGCCTTTGATTCTTGGAATGGCAGTTTCAGATTAAAAATACTTTTTTGAAAGGCATTCTCGAGCCAACTGCAATTTTGATACTTAAAAATGATATCTTCCTTCCCAATAAATGTTTTATTTATTCATTTATTTATTTATACAGACATACATATTCACATATATATACATACATATTCACATATATATACATACATATATTATCTTGAGTTTGGTGCACCCTGTCGGCCCAAATATGGGAGAAAGGAATCTTTTGCCTGTATCAGCTCAAACTAGAGCCATCCGCAGGCTTAGCAGCCGCAACTGCGACATTATATGTGTTTTTCAAAATTTGGATTGCTAACAAAGAATTAAGGGAGAACTGGAATAGCCATTTCGAACTTTTTAGTTCTTTTCAACCAGACATACCCTTCTCAAGATAATTCTTCTCCCCTGTCTCATAGCTGACAAAGTGAGAAAGAACCTGTGGCCTAGAGGTTAATACATCTGCCTAACATGCAGACAGCCCAGGTTCGAATCTCAGAAGGGTATGTCCGGTTGAAAAGAACTAAAAAGTTTGAAATGGCTATTCCAGTTCTCACTTAATTCTTTGTTAGCAATCCAAATTTTGAAAAACACATACATACATACATACATACATACATACATACATACATACATACATACATACATATGCATGTGGGTGTATATATATGTATATATGTGTATGATGTGATATATATATATATGTGGGGTGTGTGTGTGTGTGTGTTTTGGCTGGAGCACCCGGTCTATCCAGTCTGTTCTGCGTTTTGCTCCAATCTAAGAGCATGTTTTGCAGGCCGACGTCACATACGGTGAACACTGTAAATTCAAAATTTTTGTGGCTGACAGAATTAGTGGGAGACTAGTATAGCTATTTCAAGCTCTTTAGCTCTCATCAGCTAGTCAGGGGTATGACTAGCTGATGAGAGCTAAAGAGCTTGAAATAGCTATACTAGTCTCCCACTAACTCTTTGTCTGCACTTAAGAAGGGCAATTTGCTGTAGCATTTTTATTGGCTTTCCCATATAAATAGCACTTTATGAGTTCAGGTCCGTTTCACAAACGCAGCGTTTCTTTCAACCCACAGGTTGGCTCCTTTCAGCTCTTCGTGGAAGGGTACAAAGAGGCCGACCATTGGCTCAGGAAATTCGAAACCGACCCCCTGCCCGAGAACACAAGGAAACAGTTCCAGTCACAGTTTGAAAAACTGGTCGTGCTTGATTATGTTATCAGAAATACTGGTGTGTAATCGTTGTTGTTGTTTTTTTCCCCTTCAACTTTTCCTCGGTTAGGACATTATCCTTGAATTCTTGTCAGATTCAAGCAGAGGAAAACGGGCTAGAAAAATGACCTTGTGGCTTCCGTTTAACTAGCTTGCCTTCTGAGGGATGGGCGTGCTGTGATTATCCCTGCCCAACAGAGCAGCTATCTTTGAGAATACCCATAATGTTGTTAGTTGCGAAGTCGTGTCCGACCCATGGCGACCCCACGGACCACGTTCCTCCAGGCCTTCCTGTCCTCTACCATCTTCTGGAGTCCATTGAAACTCACGCCTCCTGCTTCAGTTACTCCATCCAGCCACCTCCTTCTCTGTCGTCCCCTTCTTCTCTTGCCCTCAATCTTTCCCAGCATCAGGCTCTTCTCCAGGGAGTCCTTCCTTCTCATTAGGTGGCCAAAGTACTTGAGTTTCAACTTCAGGATCTGGCCTTCTAAAGAGCAGTCGGGGTTGATCTCCTCCAGGACTGACCGGTTGGATCGCCTTGCAGTCCAGGGGACTCGCAGGAGTCTTCTCCAGCACCAAAGTTCAAAGGCCTCCATTCTCAGCCTTTCTTATGGTCCAACTTTCACAGCCATACATTGCAACTGGGAAAACCGTCGCCTTGACTATACGCACTTTTGTTGGCAGGGTGATGTCTCTGCTTTTTAGTAGGCTGTCTAGATTTGCTATGGCTTTCCTCCCCATATATATCCATAATATGCTTACCAAAATTCCATCCACCCCAAAAGGCAGAAGATCTCTGAAAGAAACGTATAGAATAGCTTGTGGTTCAAGGCGTGAAGCATCCAGAGTTGTACTAATCCTGCAATTCCTTTAAAATAACAGGCCCAGCTCTTTAAATATTATAAGCTGAGCTCTACTGTATCACATTACCCTGACATTTTACTGCAGCACCCTTGCATTTCATTTAATTGTGATTCTCCCTAATTTCCTTGCAGACAGAGGCAACGATAACTGGTTAGTCAAGTATGAGAAACAGAGCGATGGGACGGATCTTCCTGAGAAGGTAGGAACAAATCTTCTGTTTTGATCACAGGGGTACCGTATGATCAAGAATTGGTGTGATTTGTGTTCAGGTTGACTTGTGGATTTTATAAAGAATTCTTTCTCATCCCGTGTTCTTATGCGATAAGACGGAATTAAATAATGCGCGATGCTTCCTCAATGATCAATTTTATACACTCGGGCTAGATTATCGACAAATTGTAAATTGAAAAGAATTGCATGGCATATGCTGCGCAGGCTTAATATTCTATTGAAATATTAGTTTTTTTGGGGGGGGTTGTGTTAAAGGGGGACGCCTTGATTACTTCTGAATTTCTTTTTAAATTGCTTTCCAATAGGAGATCCAGTGGATTGATGAAAAGGAGCCCATTATTAAGATTGCGGCCATTGATAATGGTCTTGCTTTCCCTTTCAAGCATCCCGATGAGTGGAGAGCGTGTGAGTTTTTGGATTTTTCTAGAGAAGAATGCATGGGGATTGCAAGGATTGTGATTGGTAGATTTCATTGTATCTAGAGATGAACAGTAGTGTGAAGTTAAGGTGCTGGCCTAGAAACCAGGAAATGGTGAGTTCGAGTCCTGCCTTAGGCATGATAGCCAGGTTGGTGACTTTGAGTCACTCTTTCTCACTCAAACCACCTCACTGGGTGATTGTTGTGGGGAGAAAGAAGAGGAGGAAAAACTATTATATATGTTTGCCAGCTTGAAATACTTATAAAATAAAAAACTTTGGATAGCAATAACCCTTAGACTTACATACCGCTTCACAGTGCTCTACGGACCTCTCTAAGTGGTTTGCAGTCAGCATATTTGCCCCCCAACAATCTGGGTCCTCATTTTACCGACCTCGGAAGGACGGAAGGCTGAGTCAACCATGAGCCGGTCAGGATCGAACCCCTGGCAGTCGGCAGAGTTAGCCTGCATTACTGCATTCTAACCACTGCACCACCACGCCTCGTGTGCTAAAAATCTAACATACAAAATAATAAATAATATTATCTAACAAACAAAAGACTGGCATTCAGGTTGGGATTGTGGTCATTGACTGAAGCAGTCACTTCACTCAGTGACCAAGGTTACAGTTCCAACTGTGGCCATGAATCCAGGATTACGTGCATAAGGAAGCTGCTTCTCCTAAAGTCAGCGAATTGAGCGTTACACCTGAAAAGCTCAACTCGGCCTGCTTATTTGGAAAGGCTTCCCTTCAGACTACACAGTCACCTGTCCGAGATGGTGTAGGTTCTCCTGCTTGAGCAGGGGGCTGGACTAGATGACCCCCAGGGTCCCTTCCAGCTCTGATCTGTTCTATTCTATTCTGTTCTATTCCATATTTTCTATTCTATTCTATTCTATTCTATTTTCTCTTCTCTTCTCTTCTATTCTATTCTATTCTATTCTATTCTATTCTATTCTGTATTCTATTCTCTTGTATTCTATTCTCTTATCTTCTATTCTATTCCATATTTTCTATTCTATTCTATTCTATTCTATTTTCTCTTCTCTTCTATTCTATTCTATTCTATATTCTATTCTATTGTATTCTATTCTATTCCATATTTTCTACTCTATTCTATTCTATTCTATTCTATTTTCTCTTCTCTTCTATTCTCTTCTATTCTCTTCTCTTCTCTTCTATATTCTATTCTATTGTATTCTATTCTCTTATATTCTATTCTATTCCATATTTTCTATTCTATTCTATTCTATTCTATTCCATATTTTCTATTTTATTCTATTCTATTCCATATTTTCTATTCTATTCTATATTCCAATATCTATTCTATTCTATATTCCAATATCCTATTCTATTCTATTCTATTCTATTCTATTCTATTCTATTCTATTCTATTCTATTCTATTCTATTCTATTCTATTCTATTCTATTCTATTCCCTATTCTATTCTATTCTATTCTATTCTATTCTATTCCATTATTATTCTATTCTATTCTATTCTATTCTATTCTATTCTATTCTATTCTATTCTATTCTATTTTCTATTCTATTCTATTCACCTCCCTCTTTTTGTCTCTTCCCCCCTCTCTCAGATCCATTCCACTGGGCTTGGCTTCCACAAGCAAAGGTCCCTTTTTCTCAAGAGACGAGAGACTTGATTCTCCCTCGTATTTCTGACATGAATTTTGTGCAGGATCTCTCTGAAGACCTTTACGAACTCTTTAAGGTAATTTCAAAAGTAGCTTTGGGCAAAAGCGTTTAAAGGAGCAGGGCAAAGGATAAAGCCTATTTGGGCATATTGGCCCTGGAACGTAATTGGTCGTTCTCAGCTGGAATTGCGGTGAAATGTCAAAACGAGGAAAGTTCACTGGGCTTTCCACAAGACTATTTGAACGGTTTGGTGTAATTCCTTGCTTATTATTTTAAGTCTGGTTATTTATAGGTGGATCTGATTTGAATTATGAAGGTTTCTCAAATCAATTTATTTTTCTTCCAATAAAGACTGACAAAGGGTTTGACAAAGGCACATTTGAGAACCAAATGTCTGTGATGAGAGGACAGGTAAGGGGTGATGTGTTTTAAATTCTTCTTTTTTTTTGCATCATATATAGTTGTGGCAGTTGCTTTGAAGTTAAGTGTAGAATCCAGGTTTGTTCTGTTCTTTCTTTCTTTCTTTCTTTCTTTCTTTCTTTCTTTCTTTCTTCTTTTTTTCTTCTTTCTTTCTTTCTTTTTTTCTGTCTTCCTTCCTTCCTTCCTTCCTTCCTTCCTTCCTTCCTTCCTTCCTTCCTTCCTCTTTCTTTCTTTCTTTCTTTCTTTCTTTCTTTCTTTCTTTCTTTCTTTCTTTCTTTCTTTCTTTCTTTCTTTCTTTCTTTCTTTCTTTCTTTCTTTCTTTCTTTCTTTCTTTCTTGAAAAGAAAGTTATTCTTTCCTAAAATTAGGAGGGTGCAATTTATTCTTACTTCTATACTCCTTTGAAAGTCTGCCTTGGCAGGTCAGGCACCCCCACAGAACCTCTTTGTAAAGGACCCATCTTGTGATGGGTCACAAGACCCTCCCTTGACATACCCACACCCGAAGCCCTTACAAACAGAACACCGACACCCCTTCAACTCTGCTGACGATGTTACCTAGCCTGGTAACAAAACATTTGGAAACCAACCCACAAGCTTGGAGAAACGAACCTTCACCCTCATTCCAACAAGCTTGGGGTCGTCTGCAGATTTGATGAGTTCCCTTTCCATTCCCTCATCTTGATTATGGACGAAGACATTGAAGAGCAATGGGCCTAAGATGGAGCCTTGCGCTATCCCACTGCTTCCTTCCCTCCATGCAGAAGTAGTTCCATTGAGGACCACACGCTGAGTGCGGTCTTGCGCCCGTGTTACACTAGAGCAGGGGTCTTCAAGCTTGGCCCTTTTATGACGTGTAGACTTCAACTCTCAGAATTCCTCAGCCAGGCACGAGGAATTCTGGGAGTTGAAGTCCACAAGTCATCAAAGGGCCAAGCTTGAAGACCCCTGGATTACAGCCTCTCTCATCTCAAACCATCATGGTTGCCTCCCAACCTAGTTGGAGATGCTGGAGAACCAGAAGCCATCTAGAACAGTGGTTCTCAACCTTTTTAATGCCGCGACCCCCAACCGGTCGTAAGTCGAGGACTAAACCGGTCGTAAGTCGAGGACTACCCAACCGGTCGTAAGTCGAGGACTTTCCCTGCCCGGGAGCACCGCGAATGCGTGGTTCCGCCCCCTGCACCGGCTGAGGCGTAGCTGGCAAGCGGCAGAGACGGAGCAGGCCGACCACCAGCTGGCCCAGCCCAAGGGAGGTAAGGCACCCGCCGGAAAAGGGGGAAAAATGGCGGACAGCCTTGCTTGGCGACCCCCGTGAAATGGTCGATCGACCCCAAATGGGGTCGCGACCCATAGGTTGAGAACCGCTGATCTAGAAGGACCTAGACAAGAAAAGGGTGATCTAGAACAGGGGTCTTCAAACTTGGCCCTTTCATGACTTGTGGACTTCAACTCCCAGAATTCCTCGTGCCTGGCTGAGGAATTCTGGGAGTTGAGGTCCACATGTCATCAAAGGGCCACGTTTGAAGACCCCTGAATTACAGCATCTCTCATCTCAAACCATCATGGTCGCCACCCAACCTAGCTGGAGTTGCTGGAGAACCAGAAGCCATCTAGAAGGACCTAGACAAGAAAAGGGTGATCTAGAAGAGGGGTCTTCAAACTTGGCCCTTTCATGACTTGTGGACTTCAACTCCCAGAATTCCTCAGCCTGGCTGAGGAATTCTGGGAGTTGAAGTCCACAAGTCATGAAAGGGCCAAGTTTGAAGACCCCTGCCCTGGAGAATACATAGCATGCATCTCTTTTTAGGACAGACGGTTTCTGCTAGCATTAGGGCTAAGCTAAAGCACTATTTTCTATCTCCACATGGTTTCTTTTTAATCTTTTGCAGATACTTAATCTTACTCAGGCCTTGAAGGATGGAAGAAGCCCCCTCCAGCTGGTCCAGATGCCCCGGGTGGTTGTGGAGAGGAGCCAGGGTGGGACTCAAGGAAGGATCGTTCACTTGAGCAATGCATTTACTCAGACTTTTCACAGCCGGAAGCCTTTTTTCTCCTCTTGGTAAAAGACAAGCAAAGACCTTCACTTTAGCAAGACCTTCCACTAACTACGTAAAGATTCCCCCCCACCCTACCCCCCAAAAATGCTGGACTGCCAAAACCTCAAGAAAGTTTTTTTATATATTGAATGTAACTCAGTTTATAGTTTTATTTAAAATTGTGAACCTTTTTACATCAGGGAGACGAGCTTGTCCTAAACTGTATATTTTTATAGACGGTTCGATGTTTTCTGTTAATTTAGTTTTGGAAAGGGGGCGGGGGGGGGAAATAAAAGTTTACAGATGCCAAAGACTACTTTTGACTCAATTGGGGGAAAAAACCCACCACATTCTGTTGCCTACAATACCAGAAATTACAGTCTAATGTGATAGATGTAAGGATTGAAATGCCTGGCCTTTTTACTCCATTACACAGTTGTCTTTCAGTCATATGTAATCTACTACACAGGACCAATTTGCATTCAAGGGCTTGGAGGTGGGTTAAATGCATGTTGCTAGTCCAGAGGAAACATAATTGTCGTTATATCGTAGTTTTATTTGCATTGAGTGCAGGCAGTTCTGAGTTCAAGTTAGCACACACTCCACTGTGTATTATTTAAGTTGGGAAAGGAATAAGGGTCGGTTAGTGCTTCCACCCCACAGTTGCACACATAATTTATTGCACAGCCTCTCTCTGCGCTTATAGATTTGAGCTCCATCTGTACTAAAAGAAGGGGAAAAAAAGAATTTACAAATATGTGTCTTTTTCTTTGGGGCTCCACCGTTGGAGGACTCCGGTTCCAATTTTTCATTCCTTTTCAGTTTCTTTTGTTTTCTGGGTACGAAAACTGAGCCAGTTACAGATGACTTTGTTGATGCTTGAAAAATATCCTTTGGAAGGAAATAAAAGACACATTTTAACATTGTTTCACTTAGTGCTAAGAAGTAACATGTTCCAAGAATTGTTGGTGTTCTGGACCAAGAACTGGATGGAGGGAAACGCTACAAAAACGAACATAGATTATTATTATTTTTTTTTTCTGAGATGATACGTATTGATAAATGTGTGCTTCGGTCTTGTGATTTTATTTTTTTGGGGGGGGGTGTCAGGGCGATGAATTGGGGAAATACTGTATTTTGTTCGAACAATATTTCTGCCGCAGTTTTGTCATTGTGTTGAGAGTTTTGAAACTTTGACCAAAGCCAATGAAATTCACTAACTTGAAACCAAAGTAGACAGTTTTACTGGTATGTTGGTGCCCCTTCCTAACACCCATATCTTGGTCTTGAGGAGATGAAAAACTTGCAAATCAGAAAAAAAAATATGCTTTTAATCATTTTGTTGTGGGGCAATTCCTCACCAGTTCTAAACTTTGAATTTGGCTTTAGCCTGATCAGTTGCAAGAATAATAATCGGAGTAACTTTACACTTACCAGGAATTTGGTAAAACTTGTTTTAAATTTCAGGGTTTGAAGCTCAAAATGTCTGTGTCAATAATAGGGGGTTTTTTTGGTTAAAAGTTGTGCCTAAGCTTTCTCAGAAATGCTGTATCTTTAACTGCAGAGCAATACTCTCAGCGTTCTTACATTGTTGTTTCCTTAATATCTCAAGAGTTTGTTAAACCAATGTAGCCTGTTGGGATAATTTACTTGACCTACTAAAAATGTATAAGCCTTAATATTGAAAACTTAACTGTATTGCGGGTTTATCAATTTGTTCTGATTTCAGTCTTTTTGATCACTTCCTGCAAATTATTTAAAAAGAAAAGAGGATGGACTTGACTTTCTCAAAACAATAAAGACCACGGTCTGTGCAGATCTGCGACAGTTGTCCGGTTACATTTAATCTGTTGTTTGGAGAAAAACATCTAGAACAGAGAATCTTTCCTTTCTAAGATGAGGTTCATTTTACCTAGTTATAGTATTTCTCGTGCTGCTATCTTACAACGTTCCTACCACTCGGTATTATTATTATTATTATTAATTTAATTTCTATACCGCCCTTCTCCCGCAGGACTCAGGGCGGTGCACAGCATATTAAAAACAGATACAATAACAATATACAAAAATAAAAACCCTTCTAAAACCAAATTAAAAACCAAATATTAGAGGCTGTGTTCCAATTAAAATTATACTTAAAATCGTCCCTAAATAAAATCCTC